TCCCTCTTCGCTCAGGAGGCTTTGCGTTGCTTTCTTATTTCTTGTTTTCCTCCCCTAAAACTAGGTGCGCCTTATGGTCTGGTGCATCTAATAGAGCAAAAAATACGGTACAGTTTGATATTTCATTGCTCAAGAGAGATTGGGGGGGGGTCATTAATAACAAGCAAAGGGGTTGAAATGGGGAGTTAAAGGAAGGATTCACATAATTTAATGAATTTAAAGCAATCTTTCATTGCAAGTTCTGCAAAAATACTGCTAGACACCTACCCCACCCAAACTTTTATTCCAATATCCTCACCTTAAACATTTACACTCTTAGATTTCAAGGAGCAGGGAAGGATGAATCCATTAATACACACACACACACACACAAGCACACACACACACACCACTTCAGTATATGCATTTTTTTAAAAAATGACTGCACAAAAAATTGTAGAAAATTCTGCCTGGATTTCATCTAATATGTGTTTCCGTGCAATTTTTGCTAATGTAATGTAATTCGTTTTTGTATCTTGTATTCCTTTGTAAATTTTTGGTTTTTTTCAGCTTGGAAAACAGCATTGCAAAACCCGAAGAGATAAGAATTTCTAAGGACACCTGCATTTCAGGAAGTACATATATGGTAGACTTTCATTAAAATGTGAACTAAAGAAATTTCTACTCCATCCCTGTTAGGGAATGGAATGAATAATCAAACTGGCTCATCAAAGCACTGTACATTTGTGAACTGAGAAAGTACAGCGAGACATGTGCCTTGTACATTTATGAACTACATTTTCATTAGAAAAAAAGTAGCCAGCAAGATCATTTTCCTCCCAGAAGGCAAAAACACCCTTCAGTAAAAGCTGATATGCTTCACCATTGAGCCTCATAGCGTTACTTTACTGTAAGTTGCTCTGAAAGGCAGTCCATCAAAATAAATGGAACTGAACTGGTAAGTGTTCTTTGGGGGAAGTCGAAATTACTTGGCACTTTGCTCCTGATGAGTCACAAACGCAATTGGGACACATCACGTGTCCCAGACACCTGTTCACACTGGCCTGTCAACGCTGCTTGCCTATTACTGAACATTGTAAGACTTCCTTTGGGCGACAGGCAACCCAGTTCGCAGAAGAAGAAAGAGCCAGTGGAAACTTAATCCAGACAAAATGGAGACAAGAGGCTCCACCCCCGGCTGCATTTTAAACGGTTGCTGAAATTTCTGCCGGGCAGGAGATTTCATTTTAAACGGCAGCCAACTCCCAGCAATGCTGCTTTTCTTGCTTTCAGTTTGCAAACCATACACAATTGGCAACTCCTCCACCCCCAATTTGCATTGCATTCTCTTTGCTTTGAAAATGAATGGGATGGCATAACGTAATGAGAACATAAGTGTCATTCATGTCATTTCACCACAGCAGAGAGCAAGACGAATAACATAGCTTTTGCCAGAAGATGAACTGAGTGGAATAGAAACAGAGCTGCGTGCAATGAAAAATGATGCTGTCTTACATCCCTATATCCAAGCTACCTTTGCTGTTGTTTAGTCATTTAGTCGTGTTTGGATGAATATAAATAAAAATAATAAGGATGACCCCTATCAGCATGAGAAATTAACAATATGGGCCAACCCAACATTAAAAATTGGAAATCAAGTAATAATTTGGCAAAATTGGATGAAAAAAGGTATTTTGACATTGACTCTATTAAATGATGAAAATTACAAATTTGTGGAACATATGACTTTGCAAGTAAAGTCTGGATTAACCAGTGAAACACAATGGCAATACATCCAACTGAAACATAAGTTGGAAAGGCAGTTTGGCCCTGACGCTATAGCAGCATCGGAAACACCCTTGCTGCTACAAGATTTAATTTCTGCAACAAAAACAAAAAACTCTACACTTGCACTACATAGTGTGAGTGCACCAATGAGGATTTTGCATGACGTGTACTGGCCTGATTTGAACAGCCAGATCCTGCTGATAACGACAGTGGCCGGATCCTGCTGATAATAATGACAAGGTCGCAGGTTCAACCCCTGTACGGGACGGCTGCATATTCCTGCATTGCAGGGGGTTGGACTAGATGATCCTCAGGCTCCCTTCCAACTCTATAGATTCTATGGCGGTCGTCTGCCCCCACTAGCAGCTTAGCTGCTGAGTTCTGCACCAGCAACAACCTCAAGGGTAAGGTAAAGTTAAAGGTACCCCTGCCCGTACGGGCCAGTCGTGTCCGACTCTATCTCACTTAAGAGGCCGGGGGCCAGCGCTGTCCAGAGACACTTCCGGGTCACGTGGCCAGCGTGACAAAGCTGCTCTGGCGAGCCAGCACCAGCGCAGCACACGGAAACGCCGTTTACCTTCCCGCTATAAAGCGGTACCTATTTATCTACTTGCACTTAAGGGTGCTTTCGAACTGCTAGGTGGGCAGGAGCTGGGACCAAATGACGGGAGCTCACCCCGCCGCGGGGATTCGAACCGCTGACCATACGATCGGCAAGTCCTAGGCACTGAGGTTTTACCCACAGCGCCACCTGCGTCCCTACCTCAAGGGTAGCCCCACATAAAGCACATTGCAGTAATCCAGCCTTGAGATTAAGGGCTACAGCTCATGGGTAGAGCATCTGCTTTGCATGCAGAAGGATTGAGGCTCAGTCCCTAGCATCTCAAGGGAGGGGTGGGAGAGGTTTTTTCCTGGATCCGTAGAGAGCCCCTGCCAGTCTGAGCTGGATGGACAAATGGTCTGATGTGGTTTCAGCAGTTTCCTACACAAGGCATGCAAAACTGTGGTCAAGCATGAGAAAAAAAATTTGAAAGGGTTTATTAATAAAAGGGTTTTAGTAGCTGAACTTCCCTTCCTACCTTTGACATTCTCAGTGCAGAGGTAGAAAAACCCCAGAGGCAAATGCAGTTGGGAAAATCACAGGATGAGATTCCTAACCCCATCTTGACAGGGATATTGCAAGCCAGAATTTATTTTCTTCTGATAGAATCAGGTCATCGTATACTCATACTAATAAGGCGCTGGTGGGAAAAGGAGGGAGAGAGAAAGCCACATTGCAGCCATGCACAGTCCGTAATGGTAGCCAGGATGCGAAAAGCAAATTATGAATACATTTGGGGCTTGTGCGAAATGATGTTCCCTAATTGATTTCCTTTGAGATGTCTCAGATGTTAGCAGCTCAAGCCACAGATTAGAGCAGCTTGGTTACAGCTGAACAGCAACTCTTTATCACCCAGAATCTCACAAATGAAAACAAGAGGACAGTCGTGTACTTGTCTCAGATCTGGCGCTGCGGTGAATTTTCGTGATGTTTGGGGTTTCAGAGTGAAAGTTGCCCATGGTTAGGTCTGTGAGGGAAGTCCCTACCCAGTGCTGGTTCCAGGATTTAGAGACCCCCCAGGCATCTTGAGTAGGCTGGCTTCTCTGTACAGTGGACGCTTGGGTTGCGAACGTGATCCGTGCGGGATGCACGTTCGCAACCCGCAGTGTTCGCAACCTGCAGTGGCGCGTTTGTGCACGCATGGGTTGCGATTCAGCACTTCTGCACATGTGCAAAGCGCGATTTAGTGCTTCTGCACATGCGCGACCCCTGAAACCTGGAAGTAACCCGTTCCAGTACTTCCAGGTTTCAGCAGGTCCGTAACCCAAAAAAATAAACCTCACATTGCAAAAACAGCGGCTCATTTCCTATAATCTCCTTCCAAGAGGACCTGACCCCCAAATAAGCACTGGAATCCCTGAAACCTAATTCCTCAGCAGAATGGGCTCCACCCTCCAGTCACCTGGCAGCAGCCATCACAGCAGGCTGCAACAGAAGAGGGAAGGTAAGGGGTGTGGGGTCATTGCATCAGTGCCCCCTGAGAGACCGGCAATTTGCTTTTCCTTCAACTTTTCTACCCTAGCTGATCATTAGAAGAACTTAAAAACTTGAACTTGAGTTTGCTTATTTCCTCCTCCCTCCGGGTTCCTTTTCCTTTTGTGTTGTGCTTTCTGTAAGTCTGAGAGCAAGGACTGTTGTTTTCATAATGATGCATAAGACACTCTGGGATCTCTTTTTCTTGTTGAAGGGTAGGGTGAATATTACGTAAATACTAGGGGCTGCCACTCCTGCTCGCTCCACTGGCCAGCCCTCTCTCCCACTTTGTCAACCACTCTTCCCCCACACCTGACAGCTCACCTGGGCCTGCCTGCCATCTCTCACAGTGGAAGTGTCATTCCTCACAGTACAGTGGTACCTTGGTTCCCAAATGGCTTGGCTCTCGAACAAATTGGCTCCTGGATGCCACAAACACGGAAATAAGTGTTCCAGTTTGTGAACCTTTTTTTGGAAGCCGAATGTCTGTTTCGGCTGTTGGCATTGTTTCCGGGGCCAATCAGCCAACCTTGGTTTGCAAACGTTTTGGAAGTCGGACGGACTTCCAGAATGGATTGAGTTCAAGAACCAAGGTACCACTGTACAGTGTAGCATCAGGCACATAGTCTGGTAGCAGGAACTAGCCAAATGAAAGCGGGATTGTGGGGCGGGGGCAGAAGTAAGATGCTAATGCCCACAACACAGTCATTTTGAAAGGTTGTTGTTGTTTAGTCGTTTAGTCGTGTCCGACTCTTCGTGACCCCATGGACCAGAGCACGCCAGGCACTTCTGTCTTCCACTGCCTCCTGCAGTTTAGTCAAACTCATGCTGGTAGCTTCAAGAACACTGTCCAACCATCTCGTCCTCTGCCGTCCCCTTCTCCTTGTGCCCTCCATCTTTCCCAACATCAGGGTCATTTCCAAGGAGTCTTCTCTTCTCATGAGGTGGCCAAAGTATTGGAGCCTCAGCTTCAGGATCTGTCCTTCCAGTGAGCACTCAGGGCTGATTTCCTTCAGAATGGAGAGGTTTGATCTTCTTGCAGTCCATGGGACTCTCAAGAGCCTCCTCCAGCACCATAATTCAAAAGCATCCATTCTTCGGCGATCAGCCTTCTTTAGCCATACATCACTACTGGACAGTAAGCATAGGTAATTAAAAAGGCAGATTTATTGCAAAAACAAACAAATAGCTCCAGATGGCTCTAACAAAGCCTCCAACATCATTACTCAAGATGACCTTTCTGAAGACTCCTTCCGGTGTCCACAGAAGATATTGAACTTACGACTCTTACATCTCTTGTTTTGCTTCCTATCTAGCAGCCGTCCCATCCACCGACTCTTTGGACCTAGTGGGTCAACTCCAACCTCTTCCTGTTCTGAGAGGCTGAGTCTATTTGTGCCTTTTTGTGCTTCCTGTGAGCTTCATCTGTGTTCTAGCCTGCTCTCGGCTACTGCCTTATCAGTCTGCCCGTCAAGGTTAGGAAGAGCCAAAGTCTGCAGCTGCCGGCTCTCCCTTGCCTGACTAGTATCTAAGTCTCTCTGTTCCTGGCTGCTTTCTGCAGTTGGCTTCAAACCTTTGCTTGGAACTGGCTCATTCCTGACAGTGGGACACTGGGGAGCAGTCTGGGGGAGGGATGAGCTGGGAGTTGCTAGAAGCTGGGGGGTCAGTGATTGAGGTGGGTCAGATGAAGGAGGCCCTTCCAGGACAGGTGTAGAGGCAAAGAGTCACAGTGTGAGTGCAGACTCAGAGAGGAGTCAGGCACTCCTGTCTTCCACGGCCTCCCGCAGTTTGGTCAAACTCATGCTGGTAGCTTCGAGAACAAGCCACCTTAACCACACTTAAAACACAGCATCAGCCTTTCCCTTGGGCCAGGTTTTTTGGTTTCATGGGGCACGGCAGCCAAAATCCTCATAAAATGGGAATAAGCTGTGACATGTTGACCTGGACCCCTCTTCCCCCTGTGAAAGGTCACCTCCTGCCCCTGGAGCATGGGGAACCATTTGAAGTTAAAATAAACCAGTTAGGGATTTGAACAGCAGCATGTGGGAAATGAAACAGGCAAGAAGCAGGAGAAATTTCAACAGGGAGACAGAAAAGTAGTGAGGCTAAATCATATTTGGATTACCAGACGCCGCCAAATAGGTTCTCCTTTAAATGCACAGCCATACTTCCAGTTGCTCAGCTTCTCTCCTGAATAGGTCAATCTATAAAGCCATTACAGGAGCCTGTGCAGAAAAGGGAGCGAGCTTTAAAAGTGAATGGGCATTAATTACATTGCAGTCCCAGAAGCTGAGCTGTTTCCAACCTGCAGATCACCAAGCCTGCCTACTCCATTTCTTTTTCCCACCCTCTCCAACCTCAAAAGCAACAGACTGCTCCACTTCTTGCCAAGGAAATAATGGGCAGTCCTGATTCATGGAGGACCCTTGAGATGGTGTAGGTATTAGGAGCGTCCTACTCTCGTGTAGGACCCTGCCAGAGACACATGCCTGACTGGCATGTTCTCTCCCTCCTGGTCGATCGTTCGGGAGCTTCAAAAGCTTTCTCCAACCCGAACATCACAGCAATTGATGCCTTGGAGACATCAGCACACTTAGGGATCCACAGAGTAGTCACAGTTTACGTAACAGACCTCAGTAGCTCAGCATTTTGGCTACTCTACTTTTATTTACATATAACACACTCGGAGCATTCTGCTTTAGCTCTTTCTCATCAGACAGCAGAGAGAGAAAGAACAAAGGACAATAGTCCCACTTCACGGAACACAGTAACATAAACATCCTGTCTCCGTCACTTCCCACACTGTGGAATGTAAACATACATCGTCATGTGATAGTCAACAATCCCATGACTGCAGACACGGGGAATGAATCTCCAACATCACGTGCATCATATGGGTTGGCTAGCTCCATTTTTTCTTTTTTCTAGAACAGAATTCATGCACAGATGTTCAAAACCTAGCAGACTCTCTGACCACACCCATTCATATTTTGCATGGGAAATTTTCAAATTTTGCCATTTGAATCTGAGATTTTCCCCTTTTGGGGTCTCATGTGTATAAATATGGGAGAATCCCCATTGCAGGGATTGGCTCCTATAGGCTAGCTGATGCTAGAAAGATGGTAGAGGGACGTGGGTGGCGCTGTGGTCTAAACCACTGAGCCTCTTGGGCTTGCCAATCAGAAGGTCAGCGGTTCAAATCCCTGTGATGGGGGGAGCTCCCGTTGCTCTGCCCCAGCTCCTGCCAACCATGCAGTTCGAAAGGACTCCAGTGCAAGTAGATAGATAGGTACTGCTGTGGCAGGAAGGTAAATGGCATTTCCGTGCGCTCTGGCTTCCGTCACGGTGTTCTGTTGCACCAGAAGCGGTTTAGTCACGACCTGTCTGTGGACAAACACTGGCTCCCTCAGCCTGAAAGTTAGATGAGCGCCGCAACCCCATAGTCGCCTTTGACTGGACTTGAACTGTCCAGGGGTCCTTTGCCTTTTACCTTTTTAGAAAGATGGTGCAAGGTCAAGCATGGAGGAAGGGCATCCCCAGGTGAATCTGCATTCTCATTTTCGGCAAGCACCAAGTCCTCCAATTAATCATTGCTCCAGTCTTCCAATCTGCAGCCGGCAAACAGCATGAGATTCAGCAAGCTGCTTTCTGTTCCGAGAAAGCTTTGATCCTACCTTTGAACTCAGCACACACCTCATCTCAAATACCAACTGGAATCTTTCCTATGTTGCTCGAAAGCCAGGGGCAAGTTATTTTTAACCAATGTAGAAACTCGGAAAAGATTTGCTCGGCAGCCAGAGAGATTAGGCAGAGAGATAAATTAAGTGAGGAAGGAGAGTGACCAATTTATGACAACGCAGAGTTGCACTATTGAAAGCAGGGCCGAGGGGTCAATCACAACCTGTAAGGACTGGTATTGACTGAATGGCGGAAACCTATAATAGTCGGCTCTGTGCAATTTGTGAGCCGCCAAGCTGAGCACAGTCCACCTGTCACGGACTGGCTGGATGCAGAGGAATGGCGGGAGGAAGCAGCTGGGGAACCACTAAGGGAAGAAGGCTCAGAGAAATCGAAGAGGGGTGGTGGGACAGTGATGAGTGGTGAGAGAGAAGATGGGGAAGAGGAGGTGTTGGAAGATAAAGCAGTAACAGGACTTAGTGAGCTCGGAGAGTCTGTGGCAAAGTCCAGAATCAGAGGCAGAACCTGAAGCAAGAGACTGGGGTGAGGGAGGCCAAAAGGCAGAGATGAGTCAGGCTGATGAAGAGTCCTGGGTGTCTCCTGCTTCTGCTGTGACAAGCTCCCCTTTCCTCTTGTCTCCCAGAACCAGAAGAGGCATGAAAAGGGTGGAGGAGACTTTTAGCTGCATGCAGGCGCAGTCTCTGATTGCTTACAAAAAGCCCTGGTGTGATGGCCTGGGAATCCGATTCAGAGGCTGAACCGGAGGAACCCCAGGCTGCACAGGAGTCCCCGCCTCCAGGGCCGGCTGAACTGGGGCAGGGCCTTGTTTCTGAAGCGCCTGCACCTGTGCCGGATCCTCAGGAGCAGGCACCAGGTGAATCCACTCTAGCTCCAGAGGTGGTTGAGGACACAGTGCCTGCAGGTGCGCCTCTCCCAGCCCTGTCAGGGGAAGGTGAGTCTCCCCCTGGGCCCATTAACCCTCCAGCCTCTCCTGAGCTGCAGAGGCTCAGGGCAGAGAGGCGGAGAGAACTGGTTTCTCCCAGGAGGAGTGGTCGCCTTAAGGCCAGGAGAGGCGGGTTTCCTGGGGGCCGGGACCGCCCCTGGCCTCAGAGAAGATAAAGGCGAGTCAGCCCGGTCCCAGGTTGCAGGAGCAATGTCGTTGAAGAGCTGTTTCGGCCAGCACCCTGTCCTGTTCCTCGAGAGTTCCTGTCCTTGCCCTGCTCCTCGCCCTGGACCCCGCTTCGCCCTTGGAGGACTGTCTGCCGACCCTCGACTCAGGTCCTGGACCTCGCCCCACGGTAACCTCCCCCTGGGACCAGCACACCTGGAGATGAGGGAGATATGGGTGGCTCTGAGGAGGAGAGGAATTTCAGTCTCGGCAATTGATTTTCATGGAGGAAACCAGTAGGAATGAACTGCTCTGCTCATGAGGCCTGACGTTCAACCCAGTCTGTAGAGACCTTGGTTTTGCTAATAAAGAGTGAATGCCATCTTTGAAATGTGTAATTACTGACCGGCGTGCTCCTGTGACACCACCAGCTCTGTATGGCAGTCCATGGGAGGTGACACACACCTCTGTTTTTCACAACTTGCTTGGAGAAACCTGAGAGGCTCTGTAACATGGTAGATCCCAGGTTGTACGACAAGGCTGGAGCTCTGCAGTAGTGTGCACATAAGCCTTCCATTCAAAAAGCCTATGGTTCAATCCCCATCGTCTCCAGGTAGAACTGGGGGAAGACTCCTGCCTGAAACCCTGGAGAACTCACATCAGTCACGATCGACTAGAGGTGGGGAACTAGACCTCACCAGTATCCCACATCCTTATTCCCCCCCACAATAGGCCAAATTGAATCATAGAATCATAGAATCATAGAGTTGGAAGAGACCACAAGGGGCATCGAGTCCAACCCCCTGCCAAGCAGGAAACACCATCAGAGCACTCCTCACATATGGTTGTCAAGCCTCTGCTTAAAGATCTCCAAAGAAGGAGACTCCACCACACTCCTTGGCAGCAAATTCCACTGTCCAACAGCTCTTACTGTCAGGAAGTTCTTCCTAATGTTTAGGTGGAATCTTCCTTCTTGTAGTTTGGATCCATTGCTCCATGTCCGCTTCTCTGGAGCAGCAGAAAACAACCTTTCTCCCTCCTCTATGTGACATCCTTTTATATATTTGAACATGGCTATCATATCACCCCTTAACCTCCTCTTCTCCAGGCTAAACATGCCCAGCTCCCTTAGCCGTTCCTCATAAGGCATCGTTTCCAGGCCTTTGACCATTTTGGTTGCCCTCCTCTGGACACGTTCCAGTTTGTCAGTGTCCTTCTTGAACTGTGGTACCCAGAACTGGACACAGTACTCCAGGTGAGTACTGTGGACATGTGGGTGGGGCTATTCATCTGTCAATAACCTGACATCACAAGAGATGACAGATAACTTATTTTTTGCATAGCACTCTGCATGGAGACCAAGGATCAGTTGGTCCTTGAGGCTTGCAAAACACCATGCGCATCGCTCTGAAAGCCCCAACCATCACCTGATGGTTGCTGCTTGCAAAGTGCTGTGTGCAGGTCTTGGCGGGTGCCACCAATCAGCTGATTAATGGTGCTTGCAAACCCATTTTTGGCTCAGCTGTGTCTTTAGTGGAATGGACTCCCTCTGGAGGTTGTGGACTGTCCTTCATGGGAGATTTTTAAGTAGAGGTTAGATGGCCGTCTGTGAAGGATGCTTTCGTTGAGATACCTGCATTGCAGTGGGTTGGACGATACGATACGATATGATACGATAATCTTTATTGTCATTGTCCCATACAGAACAACAAAATTGAAAAAATCTACATCAGACATTCAAAAACCAACAAGCCTGCTATCCCAGCAATCCCAGCCCGGTTAGCCCCCTAAAACTATGATACCCCATAATTAAATACAATATACTCCCATAGAGACTACCTTAAACTGCGTTTAAAACCAAAATCGCATTTGGGTAGAAACTTTCTCAGGAGGCTAGTCCTAGTCTTTATAACCCTGTACCTTCTTCCAGAAGGCAGAAGCTGAAAGCGATCACTTCCGGGGTGCGCACTATCCTGCGCTATCTCTGCAGCTTTCTTATGACACCTGGAAGCATAGATTTGATCCAAGGTGGGAAGAGTGCACCCAGTTATTCTCTCCGCAGTCTTTACAACCCTGGACAGCATTATTTTTTCCCTGACCGTGCAGCTCCCAAACCGCACACACAGACCATAAGTTAATGCGTTCTCAACAGTACAATGGTAAAATGTCATCAACAGGTCCTTTGAGGGATTATTTTTCTGGAGGATTCTCAGAAAATATAACCTCTGCTGTGCTCTCTTCATCAGGTCTTCCAATTCTATGATTCTTCCAGCAAGTGTAAGGCAGATGGGCATGGCTTGGCCTTAATATACCTAGGGTGCCTAAGTTCCCCACTGCTGGCACAGGCAATTCTGAGTGAGATGAACCAGTGAGATTGCCTGGGTAGAAAGCAACTTTTTCTATGAATTTCTGGAGTCTAGAGATATTTTGCAGAGGAAGGCAAAAAGGAAATGAATTTCTCTCTGGGGCCTGCAAAAGTAAGACGCCCCCATGTATTAAAGGTAAAGGGACCCCTGTCAATTAAGTCCAGTCGCGAACGACTCCGGGGTTGCAGTGCTCATCTCGCTTTATTGGCCGAGGGAGTCAGCATACAGCTTTTGGGTCATGTGGCCAGCATGATTAAGCCGCTTCTGGCGAAACCAGAGCAGCACACGGAAACGCCATTTACTTTCCCACCGGAGCGGTACCTATTTATCTACTTGCACTTTGAAGTGCTTTCGAACTGCTAGGTTGGCAGGAGCTGGGACCGAGCAACGGGAGCTCACCCCGTTGTGGGGATTTGAACCGCTGACCTTCTGATTGGCAAGCCCAAGAGGCTCAGTGGTTTAACCCACAGTGCCACCCGCATCCCCATGTATTAGATGACCCCTATTTTTTTAAACCCAAAATTAAGAAATTAAGTTATTTAGCTTTTGGGGGAGTGGGGGAGGTCACTTCCACCAATTGCTCACCCGCCTGCCCACCACTGCCGATCGCACACCTCGCCGCAGCTGCCAATTTTCTGCCCGCTCACTACCAGCAACAGCCCACCCGCCCACTTGCCACAACTCGCCACCACCAACAGCCCACCCACCCACCTGCCACAGCCACCAATCGTCTGCCTGTCTCACCACAGCTGCCAATCACCTGCCCAATTGCTGCAGTCACAGCCAATTGCCAGCAGGCCTTGCCGCAGCCACCAATCACCCTCCCAATCGCCGCTGCCAATCTCCTGCTTGCTGCTCCCATTACTCACACGTGCCCCCTCTGCATTCACTATCCATTTATAAGACGACACCCAATTTTTGCCTATTTTTTTTTAGCAAAAAGCATTGTCTTATACATGGAAAAATACGGTCATCAATCCTTGCAGTGGAATGGGCCAGCATAGTGAAGAAGTATTATGGGACCTGATTTTGTTAGGTCTAGAGGCAGGAATAAATCAAACAAACAAGGAAACGCAGGACAGCTCCCTGCTGTTTAGCGCAGTCAAGTAGAAAAGGAAATGAAAGCTAGGAAAGATCCCTTTCTGTAAGGGACCATAGCCTGCAAACATCTCCAAAAGCAGACTGAACACAGTTGCAAAAATTCATATAGGAAAATATTCTGGTAGTTAGTTAATTCTCTACGAAAGAGGCAAGAATGTATTTGTAGACTGAATTCCAATAAAATAAAATAATTATTCCTGCATTGCAGGGGGTTGGACTAATTAACCCTTGGGATCCCTTCCAACTCTATATTTATATTATTATATTTTTGTATATGGAGGAGAATGAGTTGTTCTAGATGTATAAGACTCCTTTATGTGCAACCATTTGGTTGTCAAATTAAGTTTCTCTCTTTTTGACCTTGTCTACAGTCCTCCTGCTGGTTTTCAGACAGCTCATTCCTTCTGAATGATACATTTTTTAATTTCAAATGCTATTTTCTCTACTTTTTTTTCCTCTTGTTGCTTCTGTTTAGAGATGGGGGAGAGTTTTGATTTTGTCTGCATTTTAATGAGAGACTGCATACACTTTTCATGAACCAATATGCAAAGTAGAACACAACTGACCTTTGAAATGGCATGTTTTTGTACATTTGTCCAAATTGCTTACAAAAATGTATGTATGAAGTGAAATTTGTCCTAAAATGTTAATGAATTTTTATGAAGGCCTTTAAGAAAAATGTCATGGAAACATAGAGAACTGAATTTAAAATTGGGAAAGTGAGAAAGTGAGAGAAACCAAAATGGAAAGGGTCATCCATACATATTTCTGTCTCTTTTCTTTCTCCCAGAAACACAATTTCTCCTTCCGGATCAGGGCTGTAGCAACAGGAAGCTTTGGGGGAGGCCTGACCCCCTATTCCAAAACTGCTTCATGAACTTTTAGTTTTAAAAAACTAAGTCTCTTTTCCTTTTACTTGCGAAGATAAAAATGAGGAGAATACAGACAACATTCTACCCATTTGTTCACCAACTAATGCAATTAGTAGTAAAATCCTATGCATGTCTACTCAGATGTAGGCCCCACTGAGTTCAATGGGACCAATCCAGAGGTAAGTGTAAAGCATCACAGCCTAAACCAAAATGCTACTGTCATGGACTGGCTGGATGCAGAAGAGTAGCGGACGGAACCAGCTGGGGAACCCCTAAGGCAGTGATGGCCAAACGTGGCCCTCCAGCTGTTTTGGGACTACAATTCCCATCATCCCTGACCACTGGTCCTGTTAGCTAGGGATGATGGGAGTTGTAGTCCCAAAACAGCTGGAGGGCCACGTTTGGCCATCACTGCCCTAAGGGAACCCCCAGGGGAAGAAGGCTCAGAGCCAGGAGACTGGTGGTAGGATGCCTATGCGTGGTCAGAGAGAGAGGAGGGAGAGGACTGGGAGGAGGAGGTGGCAGAA